TAAATTCATTAATTTAAATAACATATATTCACATAAATTTTATATATTCATCTCATTTTAAATACATCCCTAACACTATGAATTTTTTTTTCTTTTTTTTTTAGAATTTGTAAGAAAAATTCGTACTAGAATGCAAATCTCCACAATGCATCATTTATCCTATCAGTAATGACATTATCTAACCTCGACAAAATTATGAATTTACCATAAACTTACATAAAAGTTGAACTAATAATCACTTGTGAAGAATCAAAAACACCAACAGTTTTTAAGAAAACATATAGTAAAATAGACATCAAATGTGTAAAATTTATTTGGAAACTAGATTACCAGGGAGAAGTGAGTGGTTTAGTAATCATGTTTACATAAAATCAAAACAATTACAAATTAAGTCCTCCGATGACTACTACTGCCCACAGTTTAGCTTATTTCTGAAAATTTCCATAAACATCATAATATTGAAGAACTTGAATTCAGCGAAGGTCCAAGTGATGCATTGTCTTGATTAACGAAATGTTTCAGAGTCAAGCATCGACTATTTTGGGAATGAGAGGAATGGGTAACTGGCCTTTTTGAGAGCTCTTCATCTTGGCTTCTTGCTCACGGATCTTCAGCATCTGGAGCATTCTCTCCATGACAAGCTCATACTCGTACTTTTCATAGGTGTACTTCTAGGGCAAATAGAAAAAATACGGTGCAATTTTAGAATGTGGTGAAAAGAAGTGGAGTAGTAAGGGAGGAGAATCTCTCTCTAAGAGTTTTCTGGAATAGGAACTATTTATTTGGGTTTTGGGTGGTGTTGTAATTCTAGAATATTTTAATTACGCTAATTATATGATTTCATCAGTTAATAGGGTAGTAATCAAATTAGTCAATTTTTTAGAGTATTGCCTAATTTTTCCTAATTATATTCATGTAATTTTTCTTAGCACCCGTTTGGCCCCCATTAGTTTTCATTTCATTACATTTTATTTTTTTCTCTTTTATTTTCAACCACACAATCTTCCATAATATTACACGTAAATCGAAAAATTTTCATTCTTTTTCAACTACTCATTTTTCAAAAAAAAAATATTCCATCCATTAAATTTTCCATAAAACTTAATTTATTAGGATTCTAGTTAAACATAAATCTAAAAGATAAAAAAAGATTTAGGATAATTTAATGAAAGTAAAAATTAGTGGATCAATTTAAAGTTTTGTATTTTTATTTAATTTTGTTTATATCTATTTAAGAAACTTTACATAGGATTTAAAATATAATAATATATATATTTTTATAAGTGGATGTACTTATAAGAAGTGTAGATGGAAATAGTGCCACCCAAAATATATTACGCAAAGCCAGCTATATTTCTTTCCAATTTCCTCTTCACTTGTAAACTCTTTGTGATGAAAGCTTATTAAACTCAATACTTGAACTTTGCCTGGTATCTTTGTTAGTTTTCCGAAGTTACATTCCCTAAATCTTTTATGATATGCTATGATGGGCTTCTCAGCAATCATTAGTCTAATGGATAGACATACAACCTCAATGATTTTTGATTTTTCTCTTGGTTTTTCCAACTGCAACTATTTTGTCCGGGTTCTGAAATTTACATTGTTTGTAAAGATCATTTTACAAACTCTTGATGTTCTATACTGTTTTAGGCTGCAAAAACGCTGATTAGAAATGGAGGCCTAAAGGATCAGCTCGAACAGTTCTGCGGGGATCCTAAAGTATATCATTTTTCTGTAGGCATTTTATTGGACATTGAAATGGGGACTGATATTCCATGAAAATGCAAATACACGAACCCAACATGTTAGACAATAACTCATTTGAATTTCCACATAATTCCTAGCACTACCAAACCTGGTACAAAACCCTGGTTTAAATCCAGGCCGATCTTGAATTCCATGGGACCCGCAGCATAACAATCAAGGGCTGAGATGTTTTCAATAGCTCGACTTGTCATTGGCCCTATTTGAATGGCAAAATCCTAGCACTACCATGTCCAGTCTAGTTTGAATGTTAGTAGGCATACTTCTCCGATGTAATGCAATTATTTCTGTTTCCGAAAACAATATAAAACATATGATGATATCATTGGACTCTTAAAAACTTTTACACCTGTAATTTAACTTTTTGGGCTTGTAAAATTGGTAACTTTTTTGAACTAAAACCACTGACATACGACGAAAACGCTACTAATACAAAAGTATGAAGAGTCCAATATCAAGAAGGAAAAAGGGGTAAAATAAAGGGAAAAATACACAATTACAGTACATTAAGAATACAATTTCATATTTATCAAACTTGTTAAAAAGTTTTAGAAACCAGGTGTTAAATCATAATACACAATCGCCACCTTTACATTCACAACCAAACCCCCAGTGCTTCTAATCCTCTTGGCTTCTTTCAACACTTCCCCAGCCTCTTTAGCTGGTCTTTTTTTCACCCAAGCCCTCCAATCCTACTCTAGTTTAAATTTTCATCATTGATTCCATCTAACAGACTTCGCGATTACCTCTAAACCTCCATGGAAAGCATCGTCTAGATAGATTCGAAATGAAATCCTTCACGATGGTGTACAGACCTACAAAGAAGAGAGATGAGTAAAGCCATAAGAAGGGGGCGAGAGAGAGAGAGAGAATTCTGGGTAAAAAATTAAAATTTATAATCGTCAAAGAATCTGGAGAAGAGAGAAAAGGAAACTCTAGAGAGAGAGCAAAGAGAGAATTTTGGGAGAAAATTAAAATTTATAATCGTTAGAGAATCTTTAAAAATAGACGTACCTTTTTAATCGGTTATTTTTTCAACTATTCTCTCACCTTCATCAGCGTCACTTGTATTTTCCCACAATTGATGAATCCAAATCTCAAAGTTTTTGTAATCGAATTAATTTAGCCACAATTTCATGAATTCATTTCACGATTTATTGTAACCTAAGTCTTTAATTTAGATTAGTTTTTTGGTCAAATAAATTTTTTAATAATAATTGTGATAACATGTCATAATCAAACAACATGTCACATTCAATAAATTATTGGTCACAGTCAATCTAAGATAACGCAGAGTTTTGTCACAAAGGGTCACAAGTAACATATAAATAGTCACAAACTTTATGTAATCAGGTTTGTTACAAACAATCACTATTAATATATGTCTAGCTACACGTCACTATTAATACAAATTTGATCACATACAGTCACAGTAAAAATAGACCTGGTCACAATGGATCACAGTTAACACAGACTTGATCAAAAATAATTAAATTAATTGATCTAAATTTATTTATCGATCACGAAGATACAAATTATAAGTCACAATTACAAATTTAATTACAAATCACACATTTTAGGTCACAAAAATTGGAATTATGAATAGAATTGGTTGCTGTTAAGGTAGCTCCCGTTCATTTTCTTTCTTTCCTTTTTTAGGATAAGAGAGTAATGGGATGAAAAAATTGTCATTCCATACCAGTTTGTCTTCAGAGTGATTGCGTGTGACCAGTTCAGTCTAATTCAAATGTATATAATCAGGCCACTGTTAATTTGGTCACTCACGAATAAGACGGATTTCGTCACGAATAGTTATAATGAAGATAGATTTGGTCATAATTGATCATAATTAACACGGACAGACTTGGTTACATTCGATCACAATTAACACAAACAGACTTGATCACAACATGTCACAATTAACACGAATTTAGTCACAAAGGTCACAGTTAACATATAAATGGTCACCACCATTTTGCATTCCTTGACAAAGTATTCGGTGGCCAGGCATCTATGACCTCCTCCTTCGTGGTTCGTTCATCCACATACAAATTGGTAATTTAATTTGTCTGTGGCGTAAATTCAGAAAAATTTCATCCCTATGTCTTTATGTGATTATATATAAGAATAAATTGAAAATTGGTCTTATTCCAATTTCCAATAGATTTAAACTACTAATAAAACTTATCAGAAAATGCTAACTTGATTAATGAAGTTAAAACATACCATAAATTTAGAGTGCCCAGAATATACATATTTATCTCTTTTTGGTCAACATGATTGAACAATATGTAAATGAGGATCCTATATTCCTATTGCCGTACATTGAACGTCGACCTTAAAACTTGTTCGTTGGCCGATGAGCCTCGTTAATGTTTTGCTAGAATGAAATATTCTACATATTTTTTCATTTGATAAAAACTAACTTATAAATAATCCCTATAATTAATAATAATAACTTTGCTGTTTGTGATGGAGACGAACTAGTGGTGGTGGCTCTTCCAGTTCCCTCCTCCGAACCTTCTCTTGATTTTCCATCGCCTCCAAACCCTTTTGTTAGACATCACCACCAACATTACTACAACGGACATTACCATCGGTACCACCACCACACCACTACCACCTCCTCCCAAGATATTACCCCCAAAGCAGATCGATTGTTGGAGTACATTTTTTTTCTTCCAAAGCCCCATAACAACTGCAGCCGCCGAAGTAAATTTTCTTCTCGCTTTTGTTGTCGGAGTCAAGTACTTTTGATGTTATTTCTGTGACGGAGGGAGAAATGGTGAGATGTGATTTTTATGATAAGGAGAGAGAAATGTGAGATGTGGGTTTAGAGGGTGTTTGGGAGCCATTTTTATGTAAAAATACATTTTGGAATAGTAAATTGATGGGAAATGTGTGGTTGAAAAATAAGGAAATTTTTTTGATTTACGTGTAATATTATTTTAATGAAAAATGTGTGAATGAAAAGAATGAGAGAAAAATGCATTTAAAAAAAAAAGGTACCAAACGGGGCCTAATAAATGTTAATTAAATAATTAACCCTGATTTGTGAAAAGAAAAGTTTAAGATTTGATAAGTGAAATGTACACATAAAATGTTGGGTTTTGGGTAATTTTCCCTAAAATAAATCCTAAATCCATATTCGAACTAGTGGAAGTGGAATGTGCACGATTCGACTTCGAGTAATAGGCCAGCCAACCGTATTTATGTATATCTATCTATTTCCCTCTCGCCCCGCCAAACCTTATCAAAAAAATCAACGGTCTTCCAAGCAAGCAAAGCGACAGAGAAAAATGTCAATCTCTCTCTCATCATTTCTCATTCAATATCACTCACCACACAATCAAATTTGTCTCAGAAAACCCAGGAAATTTTGCGTCGGAGCTTCCTCCTCAACTGCTCCTGGCATCGATCTCACCACTCTCCAATCCGCCGTTGAAAAGGTTTGTTTTTTTCCGTAATTTTGACTTCAACTTCCCATTCGTGTACTGTAATTTGATTTTTTATGCACCAATTATTTAGTACGCCTAATTAATTATTATGTGACCCTTGAACTAATGCATCTCAAGCACGAGTTTGGATGGATGTCAAGTATATGACTTGTCAGTTTGCTTACTTGAAATTTTCATCATCACTAAGTCTTAGGGTTAGACGATGAGGTTCATACAAATATACGTAATAGTTGTAACCAACAATAATCGGAGGGTGTGTTTTTATTGCGAGCATGGAACTTGCATGAAAAGAAAATAATCTCTTGTCAATTAAATATGTTTGATTGTTTTAATTTTCAACCTAAAAAATATTGTACTTTTTTTTTTATAAAATTGAGTTTTTGAGAAGTGTGAATTGCCTAGAAAATAAAAACATATCCCCATTAAAAAATTATTTTCCTTGTTTTTGAGGAAAATATATTCACGTGATCAACTTGTGGAAAATATTTTCCATAATCAAATATCCCAAAAGTAGAAATTTGGGTGTTAAAACATTTTTCATGGAAAATAAAAATCAAACACACCCTAAGTTGTAGGCAATTGAATTGGGAAATTGAGAATCCACATGAAGTGGGTGGAGGAGGTAGTACTGATGAACAGACAGTTAGGATGATTAGGCAACGATAAATTTGAAGGGTTGAGATGGTGCAGACTGTACGTACTAGTTTGTCGTCTTTCATTTCATGATCGTATAGAGCAGGGGAATCAAGAATGCTACTACATTTTTCTTCAATGCCACCCATCTATTCATTCCTCTGAACATGACAATGACTTCATGAAGTAGAAAATAGTTTTGCCTTTATTTTCAGTTTCTTGAATCACTTCTAACATATGTTTATTGTTCAATATAGAAAGATAGTGATGCAGTTAAAAAGGCACTTGATCAGTTGAGTGAAATTGGTTGGGCGAAAAAGTGGAGCTCCCAACCATATGTCTCGCGCCGTACGGTCAGTCTCAATAACAAATATGAAGTTTTTCTGTAGCTCTATTCAAACATTAACCTCATCTACACTATAGGAAAGAGAAATTTTAGTGTGGCAAATAAAATGTGAATAATGTTTCTTTGAATTTTTCTATAAGTCCCTTCAGCGTCTATTTCTGGACAGTTCTAAAACAAGATTAGTTTCTGATTAATATATGACAGGCTGTAACTAATCACAGCCTCAAAACTATTTCTTAAACAGTTATAGACTGATAGCCATGCTGATTGCTGGCAATGTACAACTCAATCACACAGATTGATGCACAATAGTCTCCAACTAAAAAAAACCCAGCTCATCTAGGTACTTTTTGATGACTTCACATCTACGGTCCTGCACATTAATGGAAATTTATATTCATTAGAATCTTGAGTAGTTTCTAGTAGCTTAATATGGGGAAATATATCCTGTAACTATCTGAAAATTTCTGTAACAGACGTCTATACGGGAGCTGACAACCCTTGGAATAAAAAATGCTGAGAACCTTGCAATCCCTAGTGTCAGAAATGATGTAAGTGTCATGGAACTTGTTTCGCTTTCATTTTGTTGCAATAAAAGCATACTCTGGTCTCAGTTGGAAGGTGTTCACCAGAAGTTTGTGAGGTTTGGTAATTTCTGCAGCATATTGTAGCAGGAATTCTGTGTCGAAGCTCTTGTTAGCTTGATAACTCTTTTTCATTTTGCGTCAGGTCTGATTATTACCATAAGATGCCAATTTGTGTCTTTGCTTCTCTTCCTTTGCCATTTCTTAATAGCATGGAGGGTTCAGAATGGAATGTCACCTGTGCATTTATCATCTCAAGTCCTGGAGTAAATCATGGTACTTGTTAATTAAATTGATTTTCTTCAGTGATGCAGGCAGCTTTTCTCTTTACCGTGGTTGGAACTACAGGGTTTTTGGGAGTTCTAGCAGGTCAACTTCCCGGGGTAACTTATATTTTCTCCTCTTAATTATCTACTAATATCTCCGTCTCCTGCATACTGGTGTTCTCCAAGAACTATGGACATCTAGATTTCATCTGTATCATGGTTTGTTTCATCTACAAATATTCAGAAATCTGAGGAGCTCATCTGATGATCATACGTCATTTCGGTGCTTTCTTGCCCAAAATCTTCTGTGATTTTTATTAATTTGTTGAAATGTTTTTTGAAGTCTAAGGAAGGCCTTTCAAAAAATACTTCAAAGTCAGTTAAAGCACTTGGGTTTATACCTGTTTCTCTAGGCCTTGTAATATGCCTTAACATTGTGGAGGAAGCTCCCATAGAGGTTTGGTAGGAGAAGAGCCATAAGGTTATTGATTATGATTCCACATCTCCTTGCTCCAAATGCATTGTAAGTAGTGAAGATCTAGAAGGTTTTCGTCCAAAGTGTTGACATATCGCTTTAGGCTTATGCAAATGAAAAATTATGCATTGTAAACCTGTCCAACTGAACTTTACTAGTGATAGTACAGAAGCCAACTATTTACTATTTTTAAAAAAATAATGCTTGCAAATCTGGTATGTCTCAGCTAACTTTGAACTGGATTAGCTCGCTGTAATATATCCTCTTTCTTACATATAGTTTTTCACATTAATCAATATCATCTTATACCATTTTGGTAGTATATTTCATTTTAGTTTCAATCTTTTTTAACATTTATTAAATTTGCTTTATTTTTGAAGTAGTTTCACAACATGGCTACTGTTGTGGAGAAAATTGTAAAATGTTGCACTTCAGATCTGTTGACATTCTCAGTCCATATTTTCTGTTTTGCTAGGATTGGGGCTTTTTTGTGCCGTACTTGATTGGAAGCATCTCTTTAATAGTTCTGGCTATTGGGAGCACTTCCCCGGGGTATGTAATCAACGAGCTATGCTTCCATACCCTGCATTATCAAATCTTTTGCATAGCATGAAAATAAGGTGAATAAAGGTGAAGTGCAGGCTTGCATAGAGTATATACATCACCTTCCAGCATATCCACACACTCAAAAAAAAAAAAAAATGGCTGGCACATGTACATGCACATGCATACAGTAGGTTGTGTGTTGAAACTGACTTTGTCCACTGTGACTTAGGTTGCTTCAGGCTGCTATTGGTGGATTTTCTTCATTTTTTCCTGATTACCAGGAGAGGATTGCTAGACATGAAGCAGCCCACTTTTTAGGTATTTCCGTATTGTTTTCATAAGATTCAGCCTGTGAAATCTGGCTTTTGTTAATCTTAGAAAATATTATGACATAGCACACCATTTCTCTTCCAGCTAAGCACAAGATTATGGCTAATTTCTATGCTTACAAGTTATATGAATATTCTTTTTTCTTTCTTCTCTTTTACTTTGCTTAGTTTGGACGGATACCAAATGCTTGAACATATTATCGGAAAATAAACTTAATAGAATTATCTCACTCCATGTTGCAATCTCGAGAGTAGCTCCATAACTACTTATGATGGGATTGGTCTTTATTTTTTTTGTATTAGTGAATCTGCATAGTTCAGTCAGAAAATTTCAGGATGTAACATTTTTAGTTATGGTTCTGTGGTCACATGTATGATCTCCGTTATAAATATATAAATTCAACTTTATATGATATCAGGGATACCATGTCTGTTGGCGATATTAGTATTGAAGTTCATTTACTCTTTGATGTCCTCTGCCTCTCCACATACTATCATGGTCTAGTGTTGCTAATTTAACAACATTCAATTTCTTCATTCCAGTTGCCTACTTAATTGGCCTTCCAATCCTTGGATATTCATTGGATATTGGAAAAGAGCATGTAAATCTCATTGATAAACGACTAGAAAAGCTTATTTATAGTGGCCAGCTCGACACCAAGGAACTAGACAGGTATCAATCTAGCAGCTGTAGCAGTTAAATCCTTTAAATTGACATGAAAGATGTTTTTTTCAACTTAACTCATTTATGAGATATCCCCAAAATTTGCATCTGATCAATTATTTATCACCAGTCAAGGCGTGAAAATTTTGCATTTTCATAACTGTAGCTCTGTGAACTTCATTAACACTTCATGACAATCTGGGACCCTTTCTATGCCTTGCTTTATCTTTCCTGTTACCTTTTCAGAACTTAACTAGTGATTTAAGAAAACATGCTTTGATTAAGCCAACTGAAGGGGTTAAACATGTGGAGTGCTCAATGGGAGAGAGCATTGTCCCCTCTAGCCCCATCCTAAATTTGTAGAAATACAGAAAAGCGAACAAGAATTGTGCATGACAGCATAAGTTACACAGAGAGAACAAGTCTTTAATTAGAAATGTTGGTTTAAATTATTGATTTAATACTTTCTTCTTGTCTCGCGTACATGTAAACCTGTGTTGCAGATAGTCGTGCACTACTGTGATTAATAAGATTTTATCAGAAAGTTAGGTTACCCTTGTTTGTCATGTCATTATAATTACTATGTTGTCTAAATATTTCTACATGCAAAACCTCTGAGCTCATTAACTTGTATATCCTTTATCCAGTTTAGTTATGTTTGGTTCTTTCTGTTTCTTTCTTCATGATTATATATAGAGACATAGTTGAATTCATTATCCATTATTGTTTCATTCCAAACGTCTTCATTTTAATAGAAAAGGAAAATTATGAGAACGAGCGACCTAGAAATATTATACTTCTCAGGTTAGCAGTTGTAGCTATGGCTGGACTAGCAGCAGAAGGTCTAAAATACGATAAAGTTGTCGGCCAATCTGCTGATCTTTTTACTCTTCAGGTTTGTATGTGCCACCTAGAAGAGGGCTTGCACAATTGTCGAACTCTAATCTTAATTCATTGCCTTGTTTCTTCCTCAGAGATTTATAAACAGGAGCAAGCCACAGCTGAGCAAAGACCAGCAGCAAAACTTAACCAGATGGGCAGTAAGTTCTTCATTTAAGTATTTCTATGAATGGTTACAGTAATTTATGTCAAGAATTCGCCTCTTGAAAACGATGGTAATATATTGCAGGTTCTCTTTGCTGGATCACTGCTAAAAAACAATAGGGTACTTCATGACACCCTTATTTCAGCAATGTCGAAGAAGGCAACAGTGGTCGAATGCATAGAAGCAATTGAGAAGGCCGAGTAAATCAATCAAAGGTTGTCATTTTATAGCAAGAAAGATAGTCGAGCATAAAATTTGTTCTTTTTCAACTGATTCGGTCTCTATGTATTACACACTCCGTTGTCGGATTTCTTATCGGAGAGAGAACAATATTCAGAATTCAGATGAATCTGATAACTTTCAGAATACCATTCAAACAGCCATTTCTAAGATTTTGTACAGCTTTGGAGGAGTTCCAAGCTAATTTAGTGAGAAATTAATCAAACAGTTATACTATGTGTACAATCGGAGTTAACAACCCTGATTGACAATTAGACATATGGGAGGGGGGATCCACGTTGAATAAAAAAATCATGAATCCCCCCTCCTATGATTACATTGTCAACTCAGGTTGTACAAGAAGAATAATTTTTAATCAGATTATGCTTGAGAAGAAAAGGTGTAAACAGTCCGGGTTTGGTCCGAGTCTGTCCTGTGTTATCCAAGCTGGACTGCTCTTCTCTATGGAGCAATCAATGAACTGATTGTAGAAGGAAATATTTATGGCATGTGTAGGAATTGTCTATAGTTGGTTTAAATATAAATAAATAAAAAGGAATGGTGAATATGTGAGCAGTATATAAGAGTTTTATAGAATCTGGATTAAAAATGAGAATTTATAAGGGTTAATTTCACAAACGGTCATTGAAGTTATCAAAAAATTACAAAACGATTACTAAAGTTTAAAACTTTCAAAAACGGTCACTTAAGTTCAGGCGGTTTCACTAATGGTCACTTAAATTTAAAAACTTGCACAAATGGTCACTATCAGGACCTTTTTGATTCTAATTCAAACTTAAGGACTGAAACACGTGACAATACATTATTGAGGACCTCAGGCGCAAAATTTAGAAAACGTTAAAAAAAACCCCCCAAAAATTTGCTCAATTTGATGATTGGGGTCGTTTCTGGATTATTTGGTGCAATTGAACTGTTACCCATGGTTGTATGATGCTGCTGGAGACTATTAGGACCAGTTTTGTGATTCAATGATGTGGGGATGAGGAATTGAAGGAGGCAGATCTGCTTCCGTTCGATGCGCCTATGCGTGGATTGCTTGGTTCAATTCAGCCTTGTTGGTTCGAAATTGGCAATGACCCATACATCCATTGGATGTGCCATGAAGAGACGGTTCTGGGGGTGGTGGTCAACCACCATGGGTAGTGTTTTCGGCACCGAAAATTGGAGTTGAATGGTCCGAGTTCGCTGTTCGTTTTTGGTTGCGTGGGTAGCTTTTTTGACTAGAAATTTCAAGCAGATCTGATGAAGTTTCGGCCATTGGTTGGGTGGGTTGGAACGAGTGAAGTGAGGGCTTCAAGGTAGTACGTTAGTCTACAGCCAAGGTGGTCGGAGGTTGGAGTTGTGGTGGCCAGAAGTGGTGCGCTGTTCGTTTTTGGTTGCGTGAGCAGCTTCTTTGATCGGAGATTACAGGCAGATCTAATGGAGTTTTGGCCATTGGTTGGGTGGGTTGGAACGAGTGAAGTGAGGGCTTCAAGGTAGTATGTTAGTCTACAGCCAAGGTGGTCGGAGGTTGGAGTTGTGGTGGCCAGAAGTGGTG